GGGTTCTTGAATCTGATTAAAGCAAGCTAGTGACCAGCAAAACATAGCACTCGAATAGGGNACTTAGAAAAGCGGGGCGGCTGGTAAAATGTCAGAGCAGAAGCTGTGGATGACCGTAGGGGATGCGATACCGGCCTGCCTCGGCTTTCCTGGTATATCAACCGACAGGTTCCTGCGGGCACTGTGATATTTTCCCATGCTTGCGAATTTATGTCTTAACTGCTGCAATTATCTTATCCATGTATCACTTTATTGCCTTTCTGCATGGCTTCACAAATTAGGATCTTATTGTTAGCTGTTGATTGCCTATGGCTAGGACCTCCTACGTTGACCACTACCGTTTTCCAAAGAAGATATGTCCCAGTGACTCAACATTTTGCTCCTTCGTTTGTAGTAATCTGGTAGGACTTCTATTATATTGAGCCCTTTAGGCTAAACAGCTTTTGACTATTTTTTTTTGCGCTACAGAATGGGCGCCTGAAGTGCTCTGGACATTAAGAGAACTTTCCTTTCGATTTACTCGATAAAGAACTGAGATACTTTTTGATCGTAATTTACATTTTGTGTGTCTGATGCCAGATCTTTGGCGTCAATCAACTTCGCGTGAGGGTGCGCCCCGCACTCGACTTCCAATCAAAGTTTAATGACGGTTTGAATGTGTATGTGGCCTATACAGCAATGACTTGCGGTGACCAGCTGATGTACAAATCGGTGCTTTAGTATCCCAGACCCGTCTGGGATACTAAAGTTTGGTTGGCCTAAGCGGACCTCGATCCGGGATTCGAACTCTGATTCATTTATATGTGCTAGAACACTAGTGGCCACTACACCGCCTATGCCTATCCCTGATGAAAAAGACAAGTTCATTGCCCATCACACCAGAAAGCATTCTACAGAGGGTACTTTCTATCGACATTGTCACTCCTAAGCTGCTACGTATTGTGTATACGACTCTAAACCCAATTCTCCAAATGGGGAATTTGCCCATCTCTACTCCGAAAGCGTCTTTTCAACTTTAACTAACCATATTTGACTACCTCCTCAATCTACCTGACATTTTCTTTTCATAGGTAATTTTTTTAATTTTAATTTCGAGCAGTCCCTTTCGAGGGTTTCCCCAAATAGGAGACCGTTTTATGAGCCAATAACAAAAAACATCCAAAGAGTGCTGTGTTTATATTACGATTCGTTTGAATTTCATGTACTCTTCTGTCTGTTGCTTTGATTGAGAGAGTAATCGGTTTGTTTTCGCTCACTCGCTTTTCCGCTGATGCTTTCTTTGATACCCCCACAACATCTATTTTGGAGCCGGTGACTGTACCAATGTTGCATAAAACCTCATAGTGAATCAGCTCTCGGTTGTTGGAAATACAAAAATAAATGAAAGAAATTGGAAGAAAAAAAGAAATTGTAACTGCAGGATTGGCAAAGTAAGTGAAACTGTACGTAATCTGAGAGAAAACAAAAAGCAGCTCTTGTCATGGAAGACGAAAGATAAAAAGGAAAGAAATGCGAAATTCGATGACAGAAAAAAATCTTAGTTCATTATGTTCTTCAAGGTTGTTCAGGTTCGCGAACGATCCGGGCACACATTTGAGGGCTTCGGCTATTCAAGTGTGAGTGGAAATGAATCGTATTCTCAAAGAAATGAATCAACCCAAATCATTAAAGACACAGATCCCGAAAAAAAACTTTCCTCTGATCCTTGCCTGGAACTGTGGTCCCAAGGCACGTAGAACCCTTGCGGGTCGAAAACCGATTTGAACCAGGCGTTATAAGGGCACAAAAACCGGCTTAGACAACGTACACATTCAAAAAAGGCTATGTAATCAGGCCTTCTTAAAGTTGAACGATTCACAACGAATAGTTAGGACGCCAACGAATACGAATACGAATGAATACGAATAATAATACGATAATAATTATAATAAATAATATGATAATATGATAATGGCGCCTGTGTGGGAGACACTCAGACGGTTACAGTCACATATTTTCGTACATCCCCCTTTGATAGCACTCGTTTAAAGCTTTCATTTCTTATTTCCGACGATTCTCATGCTTTTCTCCGCTATTTTTTCTTTATTCCACGTCTCGCCCCTATCTGGAAATCATCGTGGACCGTGCCTTCAAATTTCTCTCGTTGTATCAACATGCAGTTCCACAATTATTGCCTAATTGAGCCAAAACATTCACTATCTCACTCGACCCAATCCAAACAGAAGGAAGCCCAGTTAACCTAATTCGAATGTCATGCTCGCCCTCGCAAACTTTATTTTCCCACCAGATCCTTCAAAGCCAGAGAACTACTACAAAATTTAGCGACTCAATTCTTTAATTAACCCAATAAATATTTCACAATATCTTATCAAAACAATGTAGTGAAGGAAAAACAAAACAAGGAGGGAAGCTTTTAAAACAAACAGTAATTCTAGCGCAAAGCACTGCGCATAGAGGAACAAAAACGAGAAAAGCAATGGAAACGTGTAACAATAAACAGAGAATTGGAGAACACATAGGCGTTTAGGGCGTAATCCTCTTTGGATCACGAGGGAACATCGAAGCAAGACGGATGTTGTGCAAGCCCAGAAATAGCATCGTGACTCGCTCGAGACCTGCAATTAGGCGATGCAAAACACTTTCATTTCAAAACTAACACATTTATGCGTAGTCCCAGAAACTACGATACGTCTGCTCAAAAACAAAATTAGCAATCGTGTGCGATGAGGCTCTAGAAAAAGAGGGTCCTTGAATCTGATTAACACAAGCTAGTGACCAGCAAAACATAGCACTCGAATAGGGAGCTCGTGCACTTTAGTCAAGAAATCAAAAAAAAAAAGCTAAAAACAAACCAATGCCGCCACCAGCGTGAGGAGGACATCCATACTTGAAAGAATCGATATAGGCCTGAATCTTTTCGAGTTCAATATTGTGATGCTTGGCTCGTTCAACGAGAAACTCTGCGTCGTGAATTCGTTGTGCACCAGAAAGAATCTCTTCTCCTTAAACAAGGAATGTCATTAAGAGAGTATCTATCGAATATTTAACAATAAGATACAATAAATAAATATATTAAAATAAGCCCTTTACCTCTCATGAACATGTCGTAGCTGTTCGAATACCTTGAGTCATGGGGATCTGGCATTGTATAGAACGGACGCACGGCAAGGGGGAATTTGTCCAGAATGAAGAAGTCGGTCTTGTACTTCTCCTTAAAAATCAGTAAATGAGTTTAGCGTACACAGGGAAGACTTNTGTTTAAGGCCAAAACTTATATTTTGTCAGGTTTTTTTTTCAAATATAGGCAACAACTCTAAGAGAAACTCTTGCGTTTTCTAACCGGTGGAATCCATAGAAGCCTAATCTTTCTTGCGGAAAATGAAGGCACCAGTTAATAGTGGGAATTACCTTCACGAGACGTCCTAGCTGTTTCTCCACAGGGGTGCTTAGATCATCCTCATCACCCATTTCAACACCGTCCTCACGCAACATCTTCACTGCATCTGGGTATCTGAATGCACCACAAAGTTACTAGTGCTGAAGAAGTTCACTGGGAAAAGTCAAGGAGTATAAACTAACTTTAGAATAAGCGCTGGTTCACAGAACTCGAAAGGTTCAGCAGGATATTGTCGACCTACCGCTTCGATCTCCGCAGCATAATCTTTTTTAAGCCCCTTGAATATGCTGATGAGAACAGATCCGATGGTTTCCAACACCTAAAAAAATTAAGGGAAATAGTCAACATCGATAGGGCAGCTTATAGTCACAGCTTAAGGCAGTAAAAATTGTAAAAGAAGAACCCGACAAAGTAGGAAAACAAAGGAACTTTGTAAAAATATTAGAACTCTGGAAATGAACTAACAAATAACCTCATGATAATGGAAGTTGAAAGCCATCTCCAAATCAAGACCAACGAATTCGGTCATATGTCGATGAGTATTCGAATCCTCAGCACGGAATACACCACCGATAGTAAATACCTAAGCAGGCTATATTGCTCTTTCACAAGAGAAAAGCTTAAAACTAGAATAAGTACCTTTCCGAAATCGCCGGCGATAGCCATCTGCTTATAAAGTTGGGGAGACTGGGCAAGATAGGCAGAGCCTTTGAAGTATGAGACCTATATTCGAAATTTTAGTTATCAATAAACAATGTTCTCATATGAAAAAGAAGGGATTCAAAGAGAAAAAACAAAAACATCATCAAAATTAGCGAAATAATTGACCCTTCATGTTCACAGGTGAGAACCTTGAAATTCTTTACTTGAACATCGAGTTTAGCTCAGGTCTGAATCAAGAGTGATGTTTTGGAACCGTAAGAAGATAATAGTCCCTAACGGCCTTTCCCTTTTTCTTTAAGACTGGAAAACTAGCCAGTTCTTTTGAAGTGATATACTGCTAAGTAGACAACGAACAAGTAAGTAAAAAACCACGGCCGCCTCGCAATGTAAAGCAGGCAGTGAAAAAAAAANAAAAAAAAAACAACAAGTTATCTACTTAAATCACTTCAAGATCACACCTCAATGTACAAGGTCATAAGCAGAGGAACTCAAGGCACGGCATTGAACTGCACCAATACTGAGGATTTTTTTTCAAAAAAAAAGCTACAAAAAAAAAAGGAATTGTCAGTCTGAGAGTGGCTACGTCTCGACTCCATTTGTTCCCTTCAGATGACCGATCATTTTTTATTTGTATGCATAGGAAACGGGAAATGCGAGAAAATGAGTGAGCCGCTAGGCCAGCTTGTTTAAGGCTCGAAGTTGCACCAGCTTGATAGGCCACGGCACCAGAACGAGGTGGAGCGGTGAGATATACTTACCGTAAAAACATTCGCTCCTCCTTCACTTGCAGCCGAAATAATCTTCGGCGTATGGATTTCCACGAATCCGCGTTCAGTGAGGGTATCACGGAATAGCTTACAGACACCAGCCTGCAGTGAAAAGATTCCTTGCGTCGTCGTCGTACGTAAATCGAGCACACTATAAAGGAAGCTCAGTATAAAAAAGTGAAGTATCGGTGAAAGATTTGAGGGTACAACGAGGAACACACGGCACTCCCAAGGAGATTAAGATCATGGTGTATGTGACAGTCTCATGTGCTATTTGAACGTGAGTTCTTTACGAGGTGAATAAAATATCACAAACCGGTTGTCCAATCTCGTATCAAGATTGACAGCTGCCAGACCATCAGTGTTGTCTGCACGTCGGCTGGCATCTTCTATTTGAAGAGGCAGTCGTGGCTCTGCTGCTGATACAACGAATACCTTTAAAAAGTGAAGACATAAAAGAGTATATTTTGACTTTGTCCCTGAAAAAAAATGCTTCCAACAGGAATTGTTACTGGAAAAGACACTGCTGTACCTGAATAGCATGAAGTTCAGCATTTTTCTGAGTGCATGATTCAATCTGGACATCTACCTTTCCTACAAGACCTTGTATGTCAACAATGGATTCCTGCAACATAGAATTAGCCTGATTAACCTGATCATGAAAGGAAACAAATAAAAGTTCACTAATAAACATGTTCAGGAAAATTACGCTGCACCGGTATAAAGGTAGGTTGCAAGAGCCATCACAATCGTTGAAACGTAAAGCATTTACCTTAGAGATGTTTGAGACGAACTTCAACATCTGCTTGCTAATTTTTTCGCCAACAAACAGCGTAACCTAGAATAAACTCAGCGGTTCCATTATACGACCTTTCTAAATTCGAGGACGACTAAAGTATCTAACCTGTGCAGTATAGAACTGTTGCCTTAGGACCAGGAAGCATGTTTTTCCCTTACTGCGAATCGCATGGACACGACCACGTACCCAAACCTGAATTTTGATGGTATTCAAATTTTCCCGTATATGGGAGCAGTAAAAGCATTCTCATGCGTAAAAGCATATATCCCGCGGTGTTTCCTTGTCTTTCCAGAATTTGAAAACCAATACCAAAGTTCCCTTTCCCTAATCTCGTGCACGATGGATTCTAAAGCTTAAAGAGATGACTCAGGCAACCAAAGTAAAAAAAGTTCCAAAAATGGAGATATTTCTTTGAAGCTGGGGCCTTCCCATGATCAAAGACACCATATACACTAACATGGTCATTGAGTAGATCCGATGAAAAGGATGATTAAAAAAGAAGGGAGAGAGAAAAGCAAGCATCGGTAATGCGAAGCCGATCTAATTTAGATTTAGGAAACGCAATTACTCATTTTTAGCTTCGCTTTTCTGACTACATAAGATAGCCCAGGTTGAGTTCTCAATCGATTCCGCTGCATTCACAGGTGGATGTGGTCACAAGGTGAAAACATTACCAGACGCTCCGCCAATGTACCCAAATACCAACGCATAAGTCATTGAGATAAGATTGTTGATGAAGAAAGAAAGAAGCTCGACAACTAACTCAATCCTTATTAGAAATAGGCATAGGAAGCGCAGATAAAGCCAGGAGCGTTATGAGAAGCACTTAGACGTCAGTTCAACTAAAACTCAAAACAACTGCAACAACTTCGACATGGGTAAATAAAAATTCTAAGATAACATATTCGAAAAATACTCACCTCCTGGCCATCAATGTCAGGTTCAATCTTATTTAATTTTGTGAATACGATGTCCTTTTTGTCAGCCGACTGAATCATTCCATAGCTGCCGTACATACCCACCGAAACGTCTTCGCCTTCATCTTCCTTCGGTTGCGATGCAGC